AAAAAAGGCAAATGTAAGGGGTGGGGGTTCGATCCCCCCCCCACAGTGCTATATCTCATTCCTATGTGGCATTACCAGCATATCGCCATCACATTCCTGATCGATTTTTCGAAAAAAAAATGGGGGGAGGGTTCGATCCGCTGCCACAGTGCTATCTCCCATTCCTACGTGGCATTACCAGCATATCGCCATCACATTTCCGATCGATTTTTTGAAAAAAAAAAGGGGGGAGGGTTCGATCCCCTCCCACAGTGCTCATTCCTACGTGGCATTACCAGCATATCGCCATCACATTTCTGATCGATTTTTCAAAAAAAACAAAAAGGCAAATGTGAGGGCTGGGGGTTCGATCCCCCCCCCACCGTGCTATCTCCCATTCCTATATGGCATTAACAGCATATCGCCATGACATTTCCGATCGATTTTTGGAAAAAAAAACGGGGGGGGAGGGTTCGATCCCCTCCCACAATGCTATCTCCCATTCCTACGTGGCATTACCAGCATATCGCCATCACATTTTCGATCGATTTCTCGAAGGAAACAAAAAAGGCAAATGTGAGGGGTGGGGGTTCGATTCCCCCCCACAGTGCTATCTCCCATTCCTACATGGCATAACCAGCATATCGCCATCACATTTCCGATCGATTTTTCGAAGAAAAAAAAATAGGCAAATGTGAGGGGTGGAGGTTCGATCCCCCCCCCCCACAGTGCTATCTCCCATTCCTACCTGGCATTACCAGCATATCGCCATCACATTTCTGACCGATTTTTCGTAAAAAAATCTGGGGGAGGGTTCGATCCCCTCCCACAGTGTTATCTCCCATTCCTACGTGGCATTACCACCATATCGCCATCAAATTTTTTATCGATTTTTCAAAAAAAGAAAAAGGCAAATGTGAGGGGGGGGGGTTCGATCCCCCCCCACAGTGCTATCTCCCATTCCTAAGTGGCGTTACCAGCATATCGCCATCACATATCCGATCGATTTTTCAAAAAAAAAAAAAAAGGCAAATGTGAGGGGTTAGGGTTCGATCCCCCCCCCACTGTGCCATCTCCCATTCCTACGTGGCATTACCAGCAAATCGCCATCACATTTTCGATCGATTATTTGAAAAAAAAAAAACAGAGGAGGGTCCGATCCCGTCCGACAGTACTATCTCTCATTCCTACGTGGCATTACCAGCATATCGCCATCACATTTCTGATCGATGTTTCAACAAAAAAAAAAGGCAAATGTGAGAGGTGGGGGATCGATCCCCTCTCCACAGTGCTATCTCTCATTCCTACGTGGCATTACGAGCATATCACCATCACATTTCCGATCGATTTTTGGGAAAAAAAAATGGGAGGGAGGGTTCGATCCCCTCCCACAGTGCTATCTCTCATTTCTACGTGGCGTTCCCAGCATATCGCCATCACATTTCCGATCGATTTTTCAAGAAAAAAAAACAAAGGCAAATATGAGGGGTAGGGGTTCGATTCCCACCCACAGTGCTNATATCGCCATCACATTTCCGATCGATTTTTCGAAAGAAACAAATAAAGGCAAAT